TGGAAGGATGTCGATCTAATTAGCATATTACACTTTTAATATTATAGATATATAAAAACCAAGTGATTGGAACGACAGAACAACTGGTTGCTATGACATGCACTGTGGCTGGCCAACCGGCCTGATTAGGGGCAGCCCCTCCCCCAGGCTGGCCTGGGCCAAATTCGGGGCAGGGCTGGCCAGCCAACCTCCTGCATCCCCTCCTCCCACCAGCCTGGCCCAATTAGCCCCCATGGGTGCTGGCTGGACCGCACCCGCACAAATTTTTGTGCACCGGGCCTCTAGTATAGGCTATAAAAGCCTAATATGCAAATTGTCCCTGTGGGAGTTTGACTGGGAGACATCGCTCACTATGACATGCGCTGACCACCAGGGGGCGGCATGGAACAAAGGGAGGCCCTGGCCGGCAGCTGGCAGCCAGGGAAGGGAGGCCCTGATCAGCCCTGATCACTAGCCAGGCCAAGGGACCCTCCCCGTGCACAATTTTCATGCACCGGGCCTCTAATTATATTTGAGTAAGTGTTACAGAAAGAGACACTTGGTTGAAATAGATACAATGCAGTAATTAACACTAATAGTTTCCTCCACCTCTTTATCCTGAGTATTTATTTCATTTATTGAACCTGTGTTAGAGACTGTAGAATAGGTTGTTATAGTAACCACCTTTAGCTCATCTTAGAAATTAACCATTAGAGATTACACATGGTTATTTGTTTTTCTTGATCTCTTGTTCATCAGAGGTCTGAAATATGGTTGATTAATATGGTTGACATTTTTTGAGTGGCCCTTGGATCTGAAGGATAGGAGAGGGAAAACTGGAACAGTATTTTTAGAGGAAGATTGGAAAGTTGAAGCCTCTCTCTTCCTGGTTTGTTTGAAGGATGACTGAGTTTTCTCCACTGATACCTGACCTGTAATCTTAGCTTTATTTAGAGAAAACCATGTTGTTGGTATAATGCTACATCATTCAACATAATTGTTGTTTGTTTCCTCCATGCTCAATAAAAATGAGTTTTCCTCGAACTAACTGATCCTTTAGTGTTTTTTTATTTTAGCTATCTTGAATGCATATGTAAAAAATAAGCTATACACATTGTTTCTGAAATGATATACACTGTTGTGAAAAGTACTTGAAAAAATGTTTTGTTATGTGCGATAACAAATGATATCTATTGTTTCTTACTAAGCTTACTTGGAAAACTTTCAAAAAAATCTTGAATGTCAAAAATAATTTTTTAAAAGTAAATGTTTTTATAGAGTTTTAGACGAATTTTAACCCTCAATTATTCAGTTATCAAAGTTTTGAAAGGAAAAATTCTCAAAGTTTGATATTTGTTATTCTATAAATTCATTTCTCTTACTAACTTTGAAGTTAATAAACAATGTACTCACCATTTCTTGCTGTCTGCGTTGCCTGTTCAGTCCTTAATATTGGTTTATAATGTGTTTTATACTTTTTAATGAAGGGCTTTGCACCATTTATCTCGCCTGAGGGACCTGGTTGATGATACCAGTGGGAAACAGTCACCGAAAATGTGAAGAGGAAAATAAAAGTTTAACCAATAAATAGTCACCACAAAAACAAAAATGTATTTTTTTCCTATTGCTTAAGCTGGCAGAATAATGATAAGCCATCCACTATTCTGATTGGTTCAATTATTATATATTTAAAAAACAAACTTGAAAGTGTCTGTAGGTTTTGTGACCTATCCTCATTTTATGCCAAAATACCAGAATGTGAACTGGAAGGACCTACACTATTCTATAGTCTGACTTTGGTCTTCAGGCCAGCAAATGTCTAATATTCAAAGATGGATGGATGATTTCCGTTCTTGAAGCTCATGTGGACTTAACCTTCTTCAGCATCCTCGCCATTTTATCGTCTAGTTGTGGATTAAGAAATTCTTCCTGGTTTCTATTTAAAATCTCTTAAGTGGAGTAGACTTTTTGTTACAGTTAACATCCACTTTTAAGGAACTTAAAATTCTTGTGGTGTATCTTATCCATATGGAAGTATGTTACTTTTAAATTTTGTAAATCAAATATTTAAGATATGTTGTATTGCAAATAACATTAATAATGGGGTGGTTCAGTGTTAAAAGGAATATTGTTCTATGTTGTGTAATCCAAGAGAACTTTGTTTAATTAATGCTTTGATTTGATTCTCTAAAAGATAGTCTTTTTTTAAGTTTTATTTTAGAGAAAGAGGAAGAGGGAGAGAGAGAGAAGGAAACCGATTTGTTGTTTCACTTATTTATATGTCCATTGGTTGATTCTTGTATGTGGCCTGACTGGGATCAAACCCGCAACCTTGGTTATCAGGACGACGCTGCAACCAACTAAAGTACCGGGCCAGACTTAAGATAATCTTGATATTATTTGACAGTTTACAAAACATTTTGTGAGGAGATACTTGAGAATTTGATATTTTGATACTAGATTATTTACCAGATTTTAGTTTGGGGGGTTAACTCAAATTAGTAAAAACTATGAGATCAGTGACCAATTGCTTTATGAAATTTTGTAACTAAAAAAGAAAATGAATATGGGAAATCGGAAAGCAATACTCTATTTTTTTTTTTTTTTTGCAATACTCTATTTTAAAGCTACTTTGTAAGAACTGAACTTTCTCTTAAGCAGTCTGTAGTCTTTAAAGTTTGTCTCTACCTGGAAGTGAGCAGAGCTGCATTCTTTACCACAAAACTAAGAATTTAAGTTATAAAGTGTGACTAATGAAGCATATGAAATTAAAGAATATCTATGTATACAAATGCTACAAATTAACTCTTTACCCAAATGGCAGCATTCTTACCAAGTAGCTTTATTGTCAAATAGGAATTTCTAAATACATTATGTCAGATAATTTTTTATTTTCTCTAAAAGCAAAGCTCTATCTATATAAAACCTTTGTTATAGAACGTACTTGTCAAAAAGGTAGAGTGAACCCTGTCTCTATTTTCTTGACCAGTGAGCCAGTTGTCATAGTGTTCTCTGTGCTCAGATTGAGAGTCTCTTGCCTCAATAAGTTTGTTTGGTTTCCTGTGTGGAGGTACCTGCCATGGACATTCTGTTTTCTGATCATCTTCCGGTCTTCTGCTTCTCAGCTAATAGTTTGCATCCAAACAGGCATTATTTTGATGATTTAAAAATGTGGTTTAGCTGTTGCAGATTTTTAGCAGGTGAACATCAGGTGGATCTAGGCTGAGCATGTTCCGGGCTTAGTGAAATCCACTGTTAGACAAATTCTGAAGAAGGCAGAGAAGATAAAGACATCATGTAATAAACTTCTAATTATATAATATATGCTGGTCAGACAGAGGATATACTTAGAAAGCATCTCCAAAGGGATTATGTGTAATGACCGAATGGCACTGGTTTGCTTACTGCCCCCATTTGTAAGAAAATATCTCCAATACTGAATAATACTGCTTTAAAATTTTATGTTATAACTAACATTTTAAGAAACTTGATTATATTTAATGGAGTACATTTTTTGTTAAATATGGAAGTTAATCTTTTATCTGAAAAGGGAATAAATTTATCAAAATGATTAATTTCAGCCTTTAAAAAATATGTAGGAGAGTCAACTACGAAAAAAACTAAATAAGTGTTCAAGAAATTTAAGAATTGATTTATTACATGTTAAATATTCCAGTTTTTGTTTTTGCTAATCTTCACTGAGGACATTCTTTCCATTGACTTCTAGAGTGGAAGCAAAGGGGAGAGACAGTGAGAAACATTGATGTGAGAGAGGTTACTCTCCACATAGAATGGTTGCCTCTCAACCAGGGCCAGGGATCAAACTTGCAACCCAGTTACATGCCCTTGACTGGGCATCAAAACTGCAACCCTTTGGTCCAAGGGCTGTTGCTCTGTGCACTGAGCAGCACCGGCCAGGGCTCTTTCATTATAAAAAATTCTTTTCTTTTGTTCATTGATTTTTAGAGAGAGAGATGTTGATGTGAGAGAAACATTGATTGGTTGCCTCCCGTACGTACCCCAACAGGGGATCGAACTCACAACCTATGTATGTGCCCTGACTGGAAATCAAACCCACCACCTTTTGTTGTATAGGACGACACTACAACCAACAGCCACCTGACCAGGGCTCAGTATTTTTTATTTTGAGATTTCCTGGGTTAAAAGGGAGACTACAATATTGACTGCTGAATTGGGAATTTAAAGCAGAAAATGAGAACAATTAGATTTTAAAAATTGCATTGGGAATATAAAATTTCATCTTTTTCTCAGGTATATAAAAATATTAAATAAAAAGATTTAATAAGACATTAAAATTTTTGAATATGAAAAAAATTTAACCTAATTCCAAAAGTTATTTGAGATCAAGGGATAAAGTGTGATGTATATGTGATGACAAAACTCAACTATATTTTCTCTATTATCAATAAGAACTCTACTTTTAATTTTTTTTCTGTGATAATTTATTTCAGCTTCATGGAGATTTCTGACCAAATTGAGGAACTCTATCTTGGGTTTGTTTGAGTTAATTGTCTTCTCTTTTCATGATATTTCTTGTTGAAATTTCTATATGTGGGTGTTTTGGTATTTTGTATTTAATGTTTATGATACTGTCTTGTTAAATTACATATAGGTATCTAAATGTGCCTGGAGATGAATCAGGACAAGATTCCTTTCCCCCACCTGTATTTTGAATACATACAATTACTCATAAATTTGGATTTTTGTTTAAGTTTTCGTGTCACACTTTCTTTCTTCACTGTGTCTCAGAATCTATTTGATGGAAGTGCTATCGTGAAGAAGTGAACTTGCCAAAAGGCACATGGCATGAAAGCACACAAAAGAAGTAATGGGCCAATAAAATTGGTAATTTCTGAACGAAGGAAGTCTCTTCAAATGTGGAAGATGGTGTGTCATGCTAGTCCCTCTATCAACTGGAAATTTCATACCTGGGTCGATATTCGTTTGGGTTGCAGTGCCTATCACAATGACTGGGACAAACCTAGGCCTATACCTGAACACATTGTAGAGCAATAATTGTCAGATATTTTTCCTGTGATATTTGAAGTTACTCCTTTCCTACTTCTCTGCTTCCATTCTTTTATTAAAAAGTTATCAGAGGTCTATAGCATTTTCCTTTTTTGAACAAGAAAATCTTTGCTTTTTACCCTCTCAGTTTACATTGTTATCTTGACGGGACTTGTCTGTGTAACAACCTTTCTCACAATGTAACAAATTTCAGAGGGAGGGAGGGAGGGAGGGAGGGAGGGAGAGAGAGAGAGAGAGAGAGAGAGAGAGAGAGAGCATCAATGATGAGAATCATTGATGGTCTTCCTCCTGCACGCCCCACATTGGGGATCAAGGCCACAATCCGGGCATGTGCCCTGGCAGGGAATCAAACTGTGAACTCCTGGTTCATAGAGCCACACCACCCAGGCAACACATTTAACTTTGACCCATCCTTCAGTAACTTAGCCGAGATTTGGCCGCCTAATACCCGTGTTAGCCTTAAACCTTTTCCCTGCACTTTCAGCCCTTACACTGAAGACTGCACGCCACCACTGGTTTATTTCATCAAATACGCTGCAACTAAGTGCTCAGATTCTCCCACACTTTCCATGGAAATATTCTCACCTTGGTGTATGTTACTCCCACACTCGAGACACTCCACTTTCTTTTCATGTAGGTTATCTAAACGTTAGGTTCTAAAGCATATTCTGCTATTTAAAGCTCTGACCAAGTCGTATTTCCTGTTTCAAACATTTTAACCTTCCAAAGGCTGGTAAGTTGCCTTTCTTTTTCCCTTCCCCTGTCACATTTACATTTTGCTTTTTAAAAAAATTTATTTTTTATTGATTTCAGAGAGGAAGGAAGAGAAATAGAAACATCAGTGATGAATCATTGATTGACTGCCTCCTGCACGCCCCCTTCTAGGGATCCAGACGTGTGCCCTTGACCGGAATCAAACCCAGGACCGACCCTTCAGTCCGCAGGCCTAAGCTCTATCCACTGGGCCAAATCAGCCAGGGCTGCTGCTGCTTGCCTTTTTTTTTTTTGAGTTGCATGGATCTGGCTATTTGTTGGAATCAGAACCCATCAATTCACCCACACATTTTGCCAAGTCCAGTGGCTTTTCACAGGTCTTTATTCTTGCAGCTTTTGACAGCTGTCCATTTTCTCCCTAAACCTGTTTCACACCACTGCCTTCATTGCCTGGGAAGGATTGTTTTAAATTCCTGGTTGCCTTGAGTCATTTAACCTACCCACCATCAACATAGATATATTTTACTTCTACACTTCGTGCCTCAGCAACAAATCCTATCCAGCGAACGCCCCTGTGGAAGCAAGAATTTCTTCAAATTTAATGTCACTGTAGGCTAAGGTGCAAATTCCTCCCGTAATTGCCTAGATCTGGTATAGACGGGCCACACCAGCCTTTTCTCTCAACACGTTCAGATCCCGGCACTAACACGCTTTTTTCTCACACCAAAAGCGCTTTATTTCTCATTATTGTTTATTCATGAACAGTAGTGGTTTTCAAGCTTCTCTGTCCTCCCCTAACTCTCCACTTCCTTCTACAAACACATTCCCAAGGGTCCCTGGGGAGGAGGAGCAAGCCCGTTTGTGGGGCTGTGGCCTTGCAGCTCACCGGCTCCAATTTTTAAACCGACAGGATTTTCTGAGGGAATATAGACATACGTATTGGTCCCCAGATATTCGAGAGCAGGTCGTCTCACCCCTTTTAAGGGCCATGAGGTTCTCTTGAGAAGACACGTGTGGGTGCTCCAACCCGCTCCCTTGGGAGCGGACCCCGCCCCCGTGGCGGGGATGGGCCCGCAGGGGAAGTGCTCAGCGGCTGCCAGCCCAGGAGCCTCCCCTCGCGGTGACCCTCGGGCCTCGGCAAGTCACGGAAGGCGCGGTTTTAGTTCCTGGAAAGTGGGAATGACCTTCCTGGGTGATGTAAGAAAAGGCACTCTGGTAAGCAGCAATGCTGCTCATTTGAACCGCGAGGCGGAGCGGCTGCACGCCCACCCGCGGAGGTCATCGCTTCCCCCGGCTCCGGAGCCCCGCCTCAGAAAGGGAGA